TATGCCCTTCTTAACAGAGCTCAAGATCGTCTCAACTTTTTTGGCTGCCACATCATATTGCTGATACATACTGACTGAGCTTACAGGACAGATCCTTTCTCTGCTATTTATTTAACTGCTACTTATCCAAACCTCTGTCATTTTATACCTGTGAAGTTGGTACTTTGTAATCAAGTATAAGACTTTACATTTATCTCTATTGAATTTCATCTTTTTAGATTCAGTTCAGTGATCCAGCCAAAATCCTCTTGATTTTATCATCCACTGGGTTGGCTATTCCTCTCAGCTTTAAGTCATCTGCAAATTTAGTAGGCATATGATTTATATCTTTATACAACTTATTGGTAAAAATGTGAAAGAACAAATGGCCAACCATAGATGCTTAGGGCCCAACACACTGGATGAAGAACTACCCCTTGCTGCACTGATTCAGAACCATTGATAACTATCTCTCTGTGAGCCATTCTGAATCCATCTGATCATAGTATTAGCACTTAGGGCTGATATTTCCATCTTCCCCAAGAACAGTATGAGATGACTTATCATATTTTTATAAAATCTATGTAAAGTTTATGTTCAGCATTTCCCCTTATCTGTAAAATATAAGATAGGGGATGATAGACAAAGGACGGATTCTAGGAATGTTAGAGGAGCTAGAGAACATTTTCAGCTGAGGAAATCTGGGAAGGCTCCATAAATCAAATGATGCCTGAGCTGAACCTTTCAGGAAGATAAGGATAAAGGGCGAAGATGAGGAAGGTAGGCATTTTAGGCGGCAGAGACCATCTACAGGAATATAGAGAGGTAGGAGAAAGCACGCTGAGTTCTAGGCTGGTTGGAATGCCAAGTGCATGAGGAGGAGTGATATGAAAATAAGGCTGGAAAAGGTAGGTTGGAGCTGGACCTTGAAGGGGTTTAAATGCCAGGCTAAAGAATTTCTATTTCATCCTATAGTAGGAATCGACTAAGCTGGAAAGTAATATAGTCAGATCAAGGCCTTAGGAAGATAACTTTGGCAGCTGTGTAAAATACATATTGGAAAAGGGAGATGCTGCAAGCAGGGAGACCAATTAGAAGACTATCACTGTTGTCTACAGGAGATAACGAGGTAGAAGAACTAGGATGTTAGCAGTATGAATCAAGAAAAAGGGAAAGATCCAAGTGACTGATGAAATTGAAAAAGGTAATAAATTTGGAAAAACTGAATAAATTTTACTTCTGAATAACCAGATCAAGATAAGCTTTAGTTAAAGCAAACAAAACCACCCGTAACTAAGAATAAACATGTAAATTCACAATCCAAACAAATATCAAGAATTAATCAACAAAAGATCTAAGACAACTCCAAAAGACTCAAGATGGAAAATGCTATCCACATTCAGAGAAAGAACTATGGAGTCTGAATGCAGGTGGAAGCACACTATTTGCTCTCCTTTTCTTTTGTTGTTTTTTTTTTATTTCTGCTTTCTTGTGGTTCTTCCCATTCGTTCTAATTCTTCTTTACATCATGACTAATGTGAAAATATGCTTAATATGAATGTATAAGTAGAGCCTATATCAGATTGCATGCTATCTTGGGGAAGGGGGAGGAGAGGGAAGGGGAGAAAATTTAAAACTCAAAATCTTATGGAAGTGAATGTTGAAAACTAAAAATTAATTATTTTTTAAAAACCTAAAAAAGAATTAATCAACAAAAGGAAGAGGAGTTTCAGTTGTAAAATAGATTAGAAGGATTTCAAATGAAGTCTGTACATCTTAAATAAAACAGCTCTAATGAAAATAGGTCTTTAATAGTTCAGAGATTTGTCATTTTGTTGATGTGGATGTTCACTTCACCAAAGCAGACTGCCACCCTTCTATAACTTAGGAGATAGTCTTTGAAGCACTGCTTTGGCTGAAAAACTCATCCCCATGGCCAAATGGCCCACGTGTACATTGGGGTGCACATTTACTATAAACCTATGGTAGGGGTCACACAAGGACTATTAGCCTCATTTTAATGACAAGGAAACATTATTTGTGTGAGCCAAACCCTCATTCCTGCTACAATCCCCTTCTAAACTCCGACCATTGCTATTTTTCTCTTTTTTAAAATATGGGGTCTTTTCCACGGAGCCTTTCTTGCTCCAACCAGCCAGTGATTTAAATAAAGCTTAATATCCTAATATTTTATCCTTCTCTGATTTACACTAAATATTCCTCATAGTCTAACTTCTATCACAGTTATTTGTATATGTCTTATATCCCTGCTGTACTGTAAGGTCTTCAAGGGTAGAGACTATGCCCTTTTTCATCTATGTGTCTCAATACCTAGCACATTAATAATAGACATTAATAAATATATGTTGCATTCATTACTGTCAATGAATTAAAGAGCTCTTCATGCTCCATGAAATGATACAGATCCATGGATATCATCATAAGTAAGGACATCTGTTCTTGGCCCTGGGAAGAAGAGACACATATGGATGGTAGATGACTCTCTGCTGAGAGGCATGAACGCATACATAGATCAATGTGACATGACCAGTCAGAAGATGAGCTGTCCTCATGGGTCATGTCACATCCAGGATGTGACAGTGAGCCTTCAAAGATTTATCAGACATGATGTCCATCATCCACTTATGACAATACATATGGGAAAAAAAGGAAATCATCAGAAGAAACCTAGAAAGAATTCCTAAGAATTATGGAGTTCTCAGCATGAAAAAACTGAAGGTCTAGAGGGCACAGGGGTCATTTTCATCACTTATGCTAGTTAAAGGTAGGGACTTCAGAACGTGAAGGAAGAACAGCAGACTAAAAAGACATCAGGGAGAATGAGATTTGAATATCTGGATCAAGGCTCAAGATTCAGAAATGATGAGCTGTTTGACTAGGGACAGAGTATACCTAATGAAGATGCTTCCCACCTTTTAGCAGAGGGGTGATGGACTAGAAGCACAGAATGAGACACACATTTGTAGAAACAGACACTATGTGAATTTGTTTTGCTTGACTATACTTATATCTTACAAGGCAGTGCCTTTTATTTTGAGGGTGAGAATTATAGGGAAGAGGGTGGGTAGAAACAGTGATGCCCCAAAAAGGAGCATAGAGTACCAATAAAACATTTTAAAAATACACAAAGGAGAGTAGAAGGGTGAGCTCTGGACCTGTTGTTAGGATACATCTGGATGTAAATCCTGTCTCAATTTAATTAAACAACCATTTATTGAATATATAGTATGTGCCAGCCACTGTGTAAGATGCTAGAGATACAAAGTTTCAGCCCCTACCTTTGTAACCCATTGTATCCAATGAGATAATATATGTAAAGTGCTTGGCCTTTATATATATATATATATGCATATATATATATATATATATGTATACATATCTAATACATGTATATGGATGTATATATATTATATGTAAAGCACAGTGCCCAACACATAGTAGGGGCTTAGTTTCCTTTCCTTCCTTAACCTCAGCTTATTCATATGGGGATAATACCAATAGTACTTACTTCACAGGAAGGTGTTGTAAGACTCAACTGAGATAATGGGCATAAAGCACTTTGTAAATTGTAAAGTTCTACATAAATGTCAGCTGTTGTCAGTGATGATCATCATTGGTAATTACACTTTCCACTAAATGTTAGGTGTCTATCTCTTTTTCAGATAGACTGAAAATCAATCCCTCAGGGCTTTTGAAAGAGTGTCTCCTCCAACTCCAGATTTCATTCTTATGAGAGTCCCTATCTGGTCCAGTTGCTCTTCCCATCTCCAGCTTCTCTAGAGCCATTTCTACTCCCACATGCTGCTGATTAGGGACTGAAGTGTTGGAGTGCAAATGTGATGGTTCTACTGTCACCAATCATTAAGCTAATTTGTCCCTAGAAATTGACAAGATCATCTCCATTTTTGGTTGGTTTATTGGCCCCCTCCCAATTTCATCTATAAATGTTTTGGGGATGATTTGGCTTACTTAGGGTCTCCTGCTAAGCTTTCTGCAGACTTTTACTTCATTTTCTGCTTAACAGAAGGAAACATTTCCTAATGATGAGAGCTCTCAGGGCAAATCAGAAATGGAAAGGGCTGTGTTGGGAAGTAATAATGATGACAATTGACATTTATATAAGCAAGATAAAGATTTATAAAGCACTTTCCTCACAACAACCAAGTATTATCAACATTTTACAGATGAGAAAAGAGGGAGAAAGTAACTTATTCAAAAGGTCACATAGTAACAGAACCAGGATTTAAACCAAGGTCTTTTGATTCTACATCCAGTGCTCTTTCAAATACACTATAGTAATGAGTTTCCTGGTCACTGGAGGTCTTCAAATAAAACAGTCAGATGATCACTTGCTAGAGATGTTGTAGACAAGAATCACACTTCTATCAGGAGCTAGACTAGATAACCTGTGAGGTGCCTTCCAATTCTAAGATTCTATTGCTCTCTAAAGAAAACAATTTGCTATATACAATTCTCTACCAAGTCTTTAGAGGGTAATTTCATAGCAAACAATTGGAAATATATGCCAATATCATCATCCTCAACAAACATTTATTGAGTGTCTAGTTTGTGCAAAGCATTGAACTAAGTGGAGGGGATACAAAGAGGCATAAGACATGGTGCTGGACCTAAGGAACTCTCTTACAATCTACTTTGGGAGACAGGATATCACCATATAAATACAAATAAATAAACAAAATTGTAAGAGATGCTAAATAAATTATGGAAACAATTTATTAGTAGGACAAATTTAATGTGTCCAGCAAGTTTAATTACGGAAAAGCAAAAATAGAGCAGTTTTTCTGTAATTGATCCTTCTTTCTTTATCCCTTGCCATCATCACTCCAAATGTTTTGACTCATGCCATATACACAGGTGTTAATAAATATTTGGTGGTGGTAATGATGTCAAAATAATTTACATCCATAGCTGATTATAGGAAATTGAGTAGTGACATTTATTTACAGAGTTATGTTTTTCTCACTAGTGGTGCAACATACCTGTTTGCTACTGTCATCTGAACTATCTCCAGAACTGGGAGAACGGAGAAATTGTTTACTCAGCTGGTTCAAGTCTTCTCTAAGCCTTGCCTCCTCAGACTTGCTATTAAATTGCTGCCTCTCAGCATTTACATCTTGTTCCTGTTGAGGATGTTCTTCCCTTTCCATCTCTTTTGGATGACAGCCCCCCTTCAATGGTTCCTTTAGCATGTCCATCTGTCTGCTACCTTCTGCTAATTCAGGACTTGATGCAAATGTAACAAAAACCATTCAAAATGTTCATTATTATAGCAGAGGATAAAGAAAAAATTTAAAGTAAAGACTGGAAGCAAGATTTACTAACTAGATGCATTAACAAAACAGATACCTTGTTTCAATGGGTGTAATTCTCCTGTGCCAACTATGTAAAAGGCAGCAATGCATTGCAGGAGATAATAGGCAGCATCCCTCTGCCCCCTCTAAGATTTTCAATTCCAACCCGGTTTATAGTCTAGGCAAGTAGAGAATGCCAGTTTTGAGGTCATATAAATGCATTTGAATGATCAATTGTTCAAAAAGTTAAATTCAGCAAAATAATAAGTTGTTTTGGTCTATGCAACACTAAGTAATACATTTGGCTGAATTTTCCACTTTTCAAACTGGCAGTTTGGGCATGTGCAGACAGAGCTTGGAGGCATACAGAGAAAAATGACCATGGGGGGGTTATTAGAGATTGCAATTATCCTTCCTTCTTCACCATGTTCACACCATCCCCAAGAATATCTAGGGTTCACTGTATATCCGAATAGGAAAAAGGACTACTGCAGCTGTGTACAGAGCTGCTCCACTTCTGTGGTGAGAAATTTTATGTTTTCCCCAAAGCATTAACCCATGGGACTTTCATACCCAACATCACAGAGCAGTATCTACTACATATAGAACTGTGATTTGGTGCTATAAATAGACTGGATTCCAGTCCTCTAAGAAGTTTATAATCTAAGCCACACATACTGTTGTGAATATGCAATTAAGACATGCCTATACATAAACATACAAGGATTTATATAATTTACTGGTCACAGGGATGAAGAGTTACAGACAATATATCACTTGGATTAAAATTAAAGATATTAATTATAGTTCCTAGTCTTCAGTGGGCAAAAGGAGAGGAAACAGCTAATTTTCCTCCAAAAGACTTTATGAAGAAAATATTTTCTTCTTCTGACCTCTCGTGGCACTTCATACAGGTCATACTCTGACTGTATCTAGAACCATTACATAGCTATTATAGAATACTCCATTTTGTATATATGTCATGACCCCCATTGGACTGGAAGACCATTAAGTACAGGAAGTATGAATTATCTTTCCATCTGTCAGTATTTACAATGCTGCTTGGTGAGTGCTTAATAGTTTTCCATTAATTAATTTTAGGAACTGTTTATATGCTGTAAGAGGCTATGAGGTAAAGGGCGATATGGGCATATGACACTTTCAGTATGGCTTGATGGTCAAAGAGAGATGAAGTAACAGATGTTTGGGGGCACATGTCCCTTAGATAAGTGGATAATGTAAAATGAGGTGTGAGAGGAAATGGAGGTAATGAGGTTGTTTAGGGCCCTCTGCTTCTAAGGTACCAGGGCAAGAATTTCAAACTTTATAAGGCTTCCTAAGTAGGGCCAACATACACATACCCACGAGGGAAAATACTCCATAGGCTGATACATGTGTTCCTCTAAATACAGTCATATACAATACTGACAGAGCTATAAATATTGCTAGCCTCCATCTAGAGGCAGTTTTGGAACCAGAATGGATAGTTAAGCAGCTATGAGACCTTAGTACTGTTTCTATTCTCATGTTAAACTCTTTCTCTCCCCTGTGCAAATCCACTCATCAGCCCCTTCAACCTTCTAACCCAATGTAGGATACATAAATCCTTGAAGAATAGAAAATATGAGTTACTCATATTATGAGCTCATCTTTTTAAAGGGGAAAAGAAGCCACTTCAATAAAATTGTGGATTAGGTGCTAAGGAAGGTCCCTTTGAAATCACAAATCAATGGATCCTCCCCTAAATGATGTATCATTACAGAGCAATTAAATTTCCTTCTATGACATAATGACAGTAGGTCTAGGGCTAGGAAGAATGGAAGGAACAGGGGAATTCTATCTTCATTTTCATTTTTATCCCATTGGCTACCACTCAACAAATAAAGATGATATTTTTAAAAACTTCTATTTAGTGGGGACACAGACAGACATGTTTCCAGTATTACATTCAGTAGGTATCTATTAATGTCTCAATATCAACTTGTAGAACTATAAGAATGAGGTTTCCAAGGGATAAGTCTTGGTATGGATACCATTTAATTATATCTAAAGTCATATAGACAACAGAACTGAATTTATGTTAAATCTACAGATGACAGTAAATTGAGTTTGGAACAGAGGAATTTAATTCAAAATATTGATGGGGAAACAATCCATTAAAAACCCCAAAAGATAAAGTTCAATTGTAATACATCTTAGTTCTTATACTTAGCAAAATTAGTGACTTGGCACAATAATTCCCACCTATAGTTTTTGCTTTAAGCTACTGGATTAATGTAACACAGGAAATATGTGATTAGACCAAGATCCATAGTCCAAAGCTCAGCATCAAACCATTCCTGCTGCTTGGTGTAATCTTATAGTCCAAATTCTAGTAACCGGGCTCTTGTCTTATTCCTTGTAATCAATGCACGTATACCTCAATTACAACAAACTAGATTTCTATATTATTCTCTCATCTTCAAATCCCTTTCTTAGTCTCATGCTCCTTGGGCCTGGAGCCCAGCTTTATTCACCTAAAGTCTTACCTCTGATGTCCAGTTCCTGTGGCTTGGTTTTTGAGAAATGTTGACAAAACTCCTCTCACCCTTTCCACCACTAATACTAAACATCTGTCTTGTCTGAACTTGACCTACTGCCAAGATTGTCCACCTGCTGAGACATGCACCTGTTATCCGCTCCTTCCAGGGGTGGGGAACCTGTGCTCATGAGGCCCTGGTAGACCTCCCCGACAGCCACAGCTACTGGACCTGCCTACTGCTGGGATCACTCATCAATAACCGTCCTGCCCTGGTGGGCCCTCTTTCTCAGCCCTTGCCCTCTCTGGTCTTCTCCATCTGACTGGTAATATAAGCTCAGACCAAAGACAAACTAAGCAGACAGACACTGAGGAAAGACAAATTGGGAACAAGTAGTGTGCAGCAGAAAGAAATATAGACCTCGAAGTTGAATATGGAAGTTGGTAAAAACCACTTCACATAAAGTCTTAGACAAGTGCCAGGAGGGTAGGGTTGCTTGACTTTGGTCTTCATGTCCATTTTGCCTGGGACAAGGTTTGGCACATGTTAGGGATTTTATAACAGACAGATAGGCCCTTAAAGGCCTCTAGCCCAACCTCCCATATCACTGCCAGAGCTCCAGCACCTTGCAGTCCATGTATCTTAGCATGGTTGACAAGCATCTCCTGTTAAGGCCCTGGGCAAAAGTCCTATTATAAGGCCTCCAACCATAGCTGATAAATTAGACAGTAATGACCCTGCAGACTCAAGAGACAGTGCATCCAGATGGAACTTGGCAAAGACATGTCTACCCTGAGGATACAGTACTGTTGCCCACTGTCAGACTCAGAATTAATGGACTGAAGAAGATGAAGCTACTATCCTAGTGAAGCCAGACCTCTGCCCTGGGGCCTTTTTAGATATACCAGGGTTGTTCAAAAAAAAGGAGCCCCCGATTAAGGTTAACTGGCTACAAGCATCTGTTAATAGAACTTGTCCTTCAGGGAAAAAAATCTGGCTGTTGCCATGGACCTCAATCAGGCCCCTTACCTCACAATCCTCATTAGCTCTAACTCCAATTGGCCTGTTGACCATACATATCTGTCTATTTGGCCAGGGGCCCCCCTCCCCCGCCCCCAACTAATCCCCATGCCAGTATAGGTTCTCATCTATGACTTCCACTGTATCTGCTTCCTTTGCTTCTACCTTCATTCCATGCCAGCTCCCTGACCTATGCCCATGCCAGTTCCTCTTCCCAGATAAAACTTTACTTCCACACTCACACTTGCTAGTTATCTCATTCTTCTCAAAGCCCATCACTTCTGCTAAGGCTAGCTCCTTCAGCCAACTGTCTTTGACCCTAGCCCTAGAACCACTTGCTATTTCAATGTCTCTAAGTCATCCACCTCCTTATCTCTTCTGGGTACCTGAGGATAGTAGCCTCACCAAGACATTTTGAATATGTCTAGCATCATGAATAGCAAATACAGCAACAACTCAAAGCAGAATCCCTGAGGGGGTAATGAATGAGTTGCATTGCAAGAATCAATCAACAATATTCTTAGCCCAAAGAAAGAGAAGACTTAAAGGAAATACAATGGCTGTCCTCTAGGCTGGCAAAAGGTACTAGACTTGTTCTTAATTCTGCCCAAGAGGGCAGAGCTAGGAGTAGAAATTACAAAGGAATAAATTTAGGCTTAATGTTAGGAACATTCTCCTATCAACTCTATTAAAAAGTGGAATGGGCTGTTTTAGGAGGCAGTGGAAAGATTTTTGAGCAAATGGCTATTTGTGAAGATATTGCAGAGGAGGGAATTTTTTTTTTCAGCTTTAGGACTATCAATAGGTTTATCCTCATAGGTTTATGAGGACCCTAGAATTATGTGAATAAATATTTACAGAGCACCTCTTCTGGACAAGGCACTTTACTAGATCCTGTGAGCCTGAAATAAAAAGAAGTTATGATTTGGGGCACAGAAACAGATGAATGGGCAGGTAAAGTATTAGAGTCCAAGGCTAAGGTCTACATCAGGAAGTATTACATAGTGCCAGAGCTCCAACCGTGGAAAGCAGATGGACAATAAGACCTCTTTAGAGGGGAGCAGAGACAGTCCTTATGGCAGGGTTTCCTAGATTACTATCAGGTTCAGAGCTAAGACAAGTCTCCTTGACAACTCTTCTGAAGCCATATTCCTGAGTTAGATTTTTGCTCATTCTGATTTTTCATAATATTTTCTTCTCTGTTACTAAAGCCACTACTCTAAACCAGGCCCTCAGCTCTCATGCTTGGATCACTGCTAAAGAGGTTGTCTCCTTTTCTCAGTTTTAATCACAATACACTTAACCATGTGAAAAGGCCCAGACTTTAGCTAAAAGTTTCTCCAATTACTTAGTGGGTGATGAGGGAGCAGAAGGATACAGTAATATTCATTGT